TCGTGGAAAAAGAAATCGTCAGGGCAAAACTCGTGGGTTAAAAGAATGCAATTTAACAGAACAGCAAAAGGAAAGATGAAAACGCGATTACAGTACCGCCGCGAAGCGCACCGACTGGACCCGCACCGCCGCAGCCCACCCCTGAGCGGCGACTGCTCCCCTCGCCCCGGCTAGCGCCTCTTATAGCCCGGGAATGGCTCACGTGGGAGGGAATACCCGCCCCCTGCCGGCTCCTGGGGAGATTAACCCCATCCCTGCCGGAACCAGGACAAATGGTAAGCATCTATGTCTTTCAAAATGCAGAGTGGTAACTACTAAGCAGATCCACACTTGGATATAAAAACAGAAAGGAAAAAAAAGTACAAACATTGAGGGATACCAGCTCCCACAGGAAATAATTCAAATTGTACATGTACATCATGTACTCAAGTAATAAAATCTCATAAAGTGACTACACTGAAGACACTGTCCTGTAAATTTTTTTTTTCCTGCTATAATGTGTTGCAAAACATTGACTCTGTGCTGCCCTCATCTCCTAAATGCATGCACAGGTGGTAAGTCAATGCCTGACTCTACAGTCCAATTCTGATATGATGGGACCCTACATGGATGATTACTTCAGCCTCACATTATGCTGGTATTGCAAAAAAACAGAAGCAAAGTATTTAAAAGACTCCAAGTGCCTCACAGAGCCAAGCTAAAGAACAAAAACACCTCTTCTGATTTGAAATTGGGCAAACAGCATCCTACGTTTGACAAAATATTTCACAAATTTGTACTTCTCAAATTCCTAGATGCACACATATTATTTGAGGGGGAAAAAATAAAGCTGTATTTCTGGTTTGCTTTCAGTGAAGGAGGAAACTAAATGTTTTCCACAATGCTTCAGCAACAATAACAAGCTCCTTTGCTGCTTGACTTCTACTGTTAATGACAACAAGTACTACAACCTATTTCTGGTGACAAAAATAAACAGCGGAGTAACAAGGAAGTTGGTAATAACATTTAAAAATTTCACTAATATGATTAATCCTTTTTTTTTTTTTTTTTTAATTTGCTGCCCTCCTATATTCCCAAAATTGCAGGGAATTCCTGACAGACTGTAATTTTGAAATGCAGGAGCAGATGCTCTCAGTTGGCCAGCACACACGGAAGGAAGAGTTCTGCAGTTTGTTATTTTAGAGGGCTACTGACTTTTAGCAGAAGTTAGATGCATACTGATATAACCATCTATTGCGAGTACAGCATTCACAATTACTGTTGAATATTTACTTACTAAATAACAGACTTCAAATGGAAAGTTTATATCAAACACTACAAGGGCTCATTACCTGTCACCTTTTACCTTTTGCTACAGTAACATTTCTGGCCATGTAAGTGAAAGTGACAATTTCCATCCTATTTCAAAAATAAACTTGTACTCATTATTTCTTTCATAACCACAGGTTTTCCTAAATGTGTTTTCTCCACATTTATTCTGAAAAAGTGACAAAAATACCTTATCAAATTTCTACTTAATTACAGTACAACTGTTCTCTTTCACCAGAAGGCCAGTATACATGAGCACATATTTGCTCTGAAAAATGCAAGAAAAATGCAATGATGTACACTTTAATTCACAGCAAGCGCGCACCATCCTTGCAATGTGGCCCACATTTTATAAACCCTCAGAATTGATTTTCACACCGCTCCACATTCAAAACCGGAACATGCTGTAGCAGAACAGCACAGGCGAAGTCCCAAAGAACGAGAGGGCAAAGAAGATACTGCCAAAGCAGGCAAACACAAGGCCTGATTAAGCACTGTATATGATCCAATGCTGATCTGCTCAGGAGGGACAATTAGTCCTATTACAGTGTCAGAAGAGAAATCTGTTTCACCTTGACAGTACCGTGGATCCACTGGTACCTACCTCCAGAGGGAGGTGGTATCTCCATTACAACAGAGGATGAGCCAAACAAAACCATAGCTTTGATGGCAAATGCAAGTATTTGGTGCACTTCTGTCCTGTCAAACCAGGACAAGCACTTCTAAAAATACATTTCCTGAATACTTTACCCAGAACCAAAGGGTTTTTTTTAATATGTTTTACAGGTTAGCATACAGGAGCACAGGCTCAAAAAAAATTACCATTGGAATTAAAAGAGAATTCAAACTTTTACATTCAGCGCCGAAGACGCAAAGATGTAATCTTCAATGACTCCTCCCCTGCAACCGAGGAAACCCTGCAAGTTTGCAGGCTGCAAATCAAAGCTATTTCTGAGAGGAAACAGAGATGGGGGGGGAGGGGGGAAATCCCACAGCTGCGCCGTTAGAACAAAACGCTTCAGACGGCCTTTCCCTGCAGCCTGTCCCGCTACGAGTCCCTGACAAACCGGGCAAGGCGCTACCCCGGTCTCCAGAGGCACTTGGCCACCCAGTTCCCGGCGGAAGGCCACCGGGGCCGGGCACCTCTTGGCTGTGGGGGGGTCGGGGCCGCGTTGGGTGCCCAACGCCGCAGGGCTGCGAGGGAAGGGCGAAGGGGCTCGGCGGGGCGGA